GGTGCTTTGCCATGTCGCTCATATCCCTCGTTAAGGGGGGAAAAAACAGAAGAAGAGGAGAAGAGGAGTAGGCCTACTCTAAGAGGTCACTCCCAAGTCTTGATTAGGCTAAAATGCCATCCAGGCCCATTGTGTATAACAGCACATGTGCACTGGAAAGACCATTAGCTGACCAGATCCAATATGTATTGACAAATGCATTTGTGTGACTCTCTGCGTGCCCGTCTCTATCCTCACGGTCCTGTGTTCGATAAAACCAATAGATACATTTAATAGCTAATTGTCCTGATTCAAAATGTTATCCCAGGCAATTCTTTGAGCGTAGAATCACAGGGCATTCGAAAATTGGCAGCAGACACATTAATCTTGCTTACCCAGCACCAAACACAATGCACAAGTCTTATTGCTCCATGGCTACTCCACACAATCTGTGACAGGCAATTTAAAGCAATTTACTTTTTTCATTTTTTCATCAAGCATTTTTTAAAATGCAATTAAATGGCACATGATATGAAGCAAAGACAGGGCAGGCGAGAGAGCGAGACAAAGAGAGAGTGAGTGTGTGTAAGGAGGGAGAAAAGAAAGGCAACCGTTGTAAACAATGCCTCTTAACTGGGAGAATATAATTATGGTGTCATGTTCTATTACACACCTTCATTATGACAATGGTGCTCCCTGAGAAAGTGAACAGGGAAGGACGAGACCTGTGGCGCTTTTTCAAAAATCACCTACAACCACTGGCGTAGGAAGATGACTCTGAGCAAGAACACACTCATTGTTTCTTTGTTACTCTCTCTGTCATGGGTACACAGTCTTGCTCCAGCTTCTGTTTCTTTAAAGCAACATTGAGGTTTATTACAACTTGTGTTTGGCAATGATTTCCAGTGGCTTTTGTTTACAAAGTACTTTATTTGGAGGCAAAACTGAAATAGACCGAAATGTTGATAGTACTGTGAATAAGATCAAAGTTGTAAGAAATCAGAAATTCTCTTTAAGTCTCCTTCCATCTTTCTTTCAGCTTCACCCTCACACAGCACAAATGTAAAGAGGCAGACGTTTTGTCGTAGCCACTGGGGCTACATGTGGCACCATGGCATTCTTAACCCGCTGTGACATTTTTTGACGTAGCAAAATAAAGCTTTAGCTGATTTACTCCTGGTCGTTGTCCCTTGTCAAGAGTGTTATCAGGACAGGGAGCTGTACAATATGGCTTCCAGGGGATGACAAATGTGGTCAAGGGGTGAGCGCTCCTTAGGGACAGCAGAGCCCTCCATACAGTGAAAGCATTAGCTTTCCATAGAGGCATTATGAAGAAATCTATTGTAAAGGCCGGCTTCCCAGTGCTGGGGGACTCGAGGTAGAAAGCTTCACGAGTCTACCCCAGAGACTGACTGGTATTTCCAACTACGCTGAAGCCTACAGCAAATCAATAGCTCAAAGTCCCACATGCTCCTCACCAGCGTCAATTAAGTAAATTCATAAAGTCGAGTGCACTGGGAGTTGGGGGGGGGGGGGCTAATAAAAATGGAAATACTAGAGAGAGGGAGAGAGAAAAATCATCTAGCTAATTTGGATAGGAAACAGAGCTTCTGTCATGAGAGTTGCAGCTTAGAGGAAGTGGTGGTCTGAAAGACTATTTCTCTACGGGCGTTATTAAGAAGCCTGACAGTCCATCTCACTTTCACCTGCCTCCATCAGCACACGCACTGTTGACCCGGGAGTCTTCCCCCCCCCCTCCTCGTGCTGAGCCAGGCAGAGGACACATGCAAAGTGACTGGCTTTCAGCGAAAAGCCCAGCGATAATGCATATCAGCTCAGGCCTATGCAAGCAAAGTAGGCAGAGGCAGGGGAATGGGGATGACATGTGGAGGCAGAAGGGAGAGGGGGAAGGGAGAGAGAGTGCTATAAACTGCAACGCATGAGGGAAAAGAGAAAGAAGGGACCTAACCCCCAGATTCAACCCTCGCAATTTGCCTCATAAGGAGAAAGCAGGGCATGCATTGGCTGCCTCTGGAAGACAGGTAACGTAATGGATGGGCCAGTCTCCCAGCCTGACTGCTGACACTGCTCTGACAGGACGTTTCTAGCTCTCCTACACTCCCTCTCTTTCCCCTCTTTGCCCCTTAGTGTTGTCACAGTAACTACATCTGATACCCAAAACCTTTAGCAAGCGTGTTCTGAAATGCTGAAATTCCACTTCACCATCACATCTAGAGGGCGTAAACAATTCCTGGCGTTGGGATTGTTGTTTAAAGAATAGCAGAAGTTCATAAAGACAGTTTGTCATCTGGTTTGCTCCAAAAATCCGATGTCATCGCACAAAGCATCATCCACCCTTGTCAATACAAAAACAACAGCAGCAGCTATAGGTGTTGTTTTTTTGACACAAAAACAACATGAACAGCTGCCAGTTGAGGAACTAAAGAGGTGACTACTCTTTGTAAGGCCAAGATTATCTATACTCAAGTGGGAACTTGTATGAAGTTAATGTCATGTTGAAATTAACTGACAATTGTTGTGATAATCAATTAAGGCTATACATCAAGCAACAACAGTTTGTTTCTGTTTCATAATTAGAGTTATAAACTGAATATCTTTGGGTTTTGGATTGTTGGTCAGACAAAACAACCGAAAAACGTATTTTGAAACTACTTCTTTGAAAAATTCTAAACAAATTTTGCTTTCTCGCTATTAGCTAACAATTTTCTGCAGCTCGTTTTGAGACTCTCTTCTTTTCAGCAGGTATGTGAGGACCATGATGATGTGCAAAGTGAGGTACACCACAGCATTGTCAACAAAAAAACGGTTCACAGTTGACAAGCGTCTCCACATGATGTTGGAATCTGTGCCCTCGGCGCACTTTATGTTGGGCTTGTAGTGAAAGTAAACAAGATAGTCAAACTGTGTCTTTATGAACATCTGCCAGTGGAACAGACAGAGCCAAAAGCTGAAAACACACAACTGTATCAAACTCTCCATTATGTTTTGAACTGAATCCTTCTTCACCACAAACAGCTTGACAGACTGGCACAGAAGTGAAATATGCAACTATTGTATTTTGTTTATCAAACCAACAAAGAAACCCAGCCGACATCAAAACCCCTGTACAAAAGTTGCTGTAAAGCTGTCCCTGTCGATGTGGTGTGCGATGAGACATCTGTTTGTATAGAGCTCAGTGGCTGCTCTGTGACATTGCTTGATGGTTTTTCATTATTTCTGGTGTATCAGATTTTCAGAAACTAAACTTAGTGCTGTATCCAAGACAAAATTGTGGTATTGTGACAGCATGACTGCCTCCACTCCCCTTAGCCGGCATCTTTTCTCTCACTCCTCTTCTCTCGCTCCATTTCCCTCACTCCCTTCAGTCTGTCTGACTCCACTTCTGCATGCAGGTCAGGGTACTTAATTCATATCCAGAGACATCGTTTCCTCGTTCGCCAACATACAGTGTGAGGGAAGCCGACTAGACCTGCCATATATTGGGGCTAGGCAGCACCCTCATATCCCCCCATGCCCCCACTCCCTCCACACGCCTTGTGAGAACGTGCGATATGGAGGAACGTTGCAGACGCTCCCCAGCGGACCAACTGATAACCCTCCTACCAAACCACAGCTGAGGAACACTGGCGGCCTGGATATCGCCCAGCCAGGGAGGAATAATGAGAACAAAAGCAGAATACATGGCCTTCTTTCTCTTTCTACGTACCCCTCCTCCTCCTCCTCCTCCTCCTCCACCTCCGTCCTGCGCTGTTCCTCTTGTTCCGTTTCCTTCTCACATGTGCCAGCGCATTCTGCATTGGCCTTCAGAGGACGGCAGACTGAGAAAGACGAAAAAAGATGGGCGGGAGAAATGATTGAGAGACGGAAAGCAGAGATATTCCACTGCCTACATCAAGGCCCTTCTCTGTGGTTTTCAAACAGTCATTTTGTTCAGTATCTTTACACTGATCTTAAGGTAATAAACTGCGGTTGACATTGCCCAGGGTCTCCATTGGCATTCTGCTGGGTCTGATAACAAAGTGTGCCGAAGCAGATTGTTTAAAAAGATAGAAAGGGCCGCACCACGTACAGCCTTGCACTCTAGTAGATGTTGATTTAGCGGCTTAATTCAGATAAAGTAGCTCTACACATGTTGTACAAGATGTAAGCCTATACATTGATGTGTAATATTCCTAATCTGATATTTATCAACTTAGGCAGCACTCAGCCTGCCCATCAATCAGATGACTGACACTCACCATACAGTATGTGTGTGTGTATTAATGTATATCAGGGCTTGTGTCAATGGGAATGTATGCAGAAAAGTCAATCACATGCAGAGCTGTGTTACAGATTTCATGTCTTCTCCAAACTGCTTTTATCATGTTGGCATCTGTCTGATGTGTGTGTGTGTTTTACTGTACTTGATTACTTAATATTCTTATTTTTCTGCCTTAAGTATGTATTTGCATCTTAATGGGTATCATACAGATCTCCCACAGATGGATCTGTATGGGAAAAGAGCTTAAACAAACAATTAGTTTCACTATTGATTAATCCTTCAGTAATTATTTGGTCAAAATAGAAAACAGTGTAAAACGTGAGGAAGAAATAAGACATCCAAACCTAAAGCAGAAGCTTCTAAATCAAAACACAAAATCATAGAGTTGCAAGTAAGGATGTTTTTGTTAAATTATTTGTGCACAAATAAACTGTCTGAACTCAGATGATGGTACAGGAAAAGAAAATGTGGAAGCAGAAAAAAAAGGGTTTGAGACAATAACTTTGTATCTTAAAACTAAGTCGATTGGTTTAATTAAAAAATAGATTTTGTCTCGCAATTCAGTTCTTTGTCATGTACAATTTTCAGTCATTGTTTACATTGTTGTTAATGGTTTACTTGTTTTGGTTTTTATTAGATATTTTATTTGTTGGATTTCAGGCTTTTTGTCTGTAGCAGTAGCAAACTGCTGCCTCCCCGCCCACTATTGACACTCTGTTTTTCTGTGTAAATGTTCCAGGTGCAGTTTTCCGCTCTATGTGAGTCTGAGGAGCCTTTCCTGCTTCAGTAGATTACAGCATGAGGACCAATCCGATACTCTGACCAAAGACCACTGGACACAGACCACTTAGGGGGGAGAAGACTGTTGTGGTGGTGGGGCCATGGATAGAAGGAAAGTTTGCGTATTGATGGTGCTGTGGGCCATGGCCAACCTCAGCTCTCCAGGGCACAGCCTCAGGGCCCTGCGAAGGACTACAGGGGGGCGGAGGGGGTCCACAGGGCTGACAGGACAGGACGCCAATGGAGTTCCGCTCAGGCGCTCCAAACGAGGTTGGATGTGGAACCAGTTCTTTTTGTTGGAGGAGTACACCGGGACAGACATGCAGTATGTCGGAAAGGTAGTTAAAGAACCTACATTCTCTTTTTTTTATTTATCCTAGTCTATCCTTAGTCCTGCATCAGACACCTTGCCACATCTGCAGTAGACTTCCACTGCTCTTCATGGTAGTGATGAACACACGCATTGACACACATGCCCTGTCATACCATATCTATGTATGGTCAGATTGCAGCTCCATGAGATTAGCTCATCTCATCTGAAACCAAGAATAACAATATACACACGCACAAATCTTACAAGTTAAACATGCCTTTAAAATAGGGCTGGGCATCAAACTTTTTTAGAATGAACTGTATGAAATGTACAGTAACATAGAGTACAAAAAATTTAAACAGCACCTTACATCATACATTTTTTGTTGAATGAAAAAAAATTGAAAGAAAGAAATGCTTACATATCTCAAAGTGTTTGTTTTGGTATAGGTAAATGTGGGTATCATAATGAGATTAGTATCAATTATTAAAACACTTAATCATCACAGATCACATACAAACAAAGGGAACAATATTTCCTTGCTTTTACTTAGATAAATTAATGACAGTTGTCTTCAGGTTTATCAGACGCTGCACTGCCATCAGTTATAGCTTTTTGTCAAAAAAACAAACAAACTGATGAGCATGTTTGTGTGTGTTGTCTACATCTGATGTAAATTGTCTACCTAAAGTAAATTTCTCCTTTAACTAACATTGCATTAGTAGAAATGTTTGTATGGATGTTCTAGAAACCAAATAGTGCATTAACTGTCACTTTTCCTGACCAATCCAAACTTCCTGTTTTCAGAAGGGCTCATGTCACTTGAAGGAGCTGAGCCCAGCTCCCACCTTGTTCAGAATTTAAGCTCTTTCACACGGTTTTTCAATTTCTGAGAGCAGTTTGTTCAGAACGAATAAAAGACGTTCTCTGTAGCTGGTGTGAGCAGTCATAACCAGCCATCACAGATGAAAAGAGAAAGACAAAATAGTGGCACAAAAAGAAACTGATTAGAAAACAGAGGGACGCTGGCGACGCTGTTAAGTTGATTTGTGATCTTTGAGAAGTGATGACACCGCAGCAGTGACAAAGATGTTTGCAACAAAAACGAAGCAACAATTTCCATCTCACTGGACTTAAGTATCAAATCTATAGCCTTCGGTCTCCTGGAATCTCTCGTCCTCATTCTGTGTATTTTAGTCTATCACTGATGTTTGTTTATTCTTCTGGGACTTTTTTTCCAGCGTACACAAAGCCACTGTCTACACACGCTGGCGTGTTGACATTTGAATAGTTGCCGGTTGATTTAAAAATGTTTCATTAGTCTTGTCAATACATATTTATAAAGACAGAGTTCTGCTATATTTTCATCAACCCAAATGGATGCAAATTTCACCAAATATTAATTTATTTGCACATTACAGTCACACTAAAAAAATCTGAAATTGCAATACAACAATTTTGAAAGTTTAGTTTCTAAATGAGCACTACAAGGGGAAAAACCTGTGGTGCTTTTCTTAGTAGCATAATGGATTTCTAGATAACGTAGTCATTGTCTTCAAACACTACACTCAAAGGAAAAGATCTGCTCTTAATGAAATGCTTTGCAATAAATAACATCCTGTATGTATCATTATGTCTCTGAGAATAGGAAAATCATCTTGTCGTGACATAGTAGACATGACATGATACTCCAAACGGCTAATGCTTTTACATCGGACTTCCATCCATCCATCCTCAGGCTTTGTTTGCTGTTGGCTGTCCAATATATTTTGTGCTTACTGTCAGCTCTGTGGCTGCTTGCACGATGTCTATTCCACTCACATCGAGCTGTCCTAAAGCGGCTGTCTTGCCCTACAGTAAAATATGACTTCCTCCGAAGGTATTATTTGTTCAACAAAATGAAAACACAGTGTCGACCCAGATAACATTGGGGGATGTACAAGAAGACGGGCCAAATAATGCTTGCTTTACATGCAGTGGAGCGGAAGTCAAGATATCAGTCTGCTCTTCCAACCTACTGTAATTGAGGAGATTGTGAAGCATCGTTGCAAGGTCAGGACGACTGAGGAGGAAGAAAGGCTGTTTTGTGCGAGGACTTGAATGGGGCTAGTGCTTTGCATTCCCATCGTGTGTCCACGGAGGATAGAGTCATCCAACCAAATGAGATTCTGCAACATACGTCCTCCCCAAGTGAGGGTTGACTTTCAGCCCTGGTCTAAAAGGATTACAACAGTCACTATGGTATGAGGCGAGCAAATACGAGAAAGAACAAAAAAGTTGAAAAGAACAATAGAAACCAGAGTGAATGAAGATCAAAAGTAAGTACAGAGCATGATCAAACCACTTTGTCTTTAGAGAGTGGTGATTGATGTGCCACTCGTCCTTTTAGCTTGTAAAATGACTAATAGCAAAAGCAGAATGGATTATCTGAGAGACAGAGGCAAGCGGCCTGAGAGCCTGTCTCCTGAAGACGCCATTAAGGCATCCAACCTTAGAGCACCACACTTAATCATGACGCTGAACGCTTGTTATTTCCCCCAAGTACATGCAGCTGGGCGCTCTTCCTCATTGTCAGCTCACTAGCCAGTTGTCACATAGGATTGCAGTACGTAGATCTTATCTGATTGCAATTACTGTTTGTTAATTGCTAGATAAAGTACAAGTGAATGAATGAGCCCTTAAAAGAAATGAATAGCTTTTGAGTTGAACACATGGCTCAACATAGAGAACAACCATCTGCATCTGTATCCTCAGGTGGAGGGCATATTCTCACAATGTAGTGGATCTGAAGGAATAAAAAACAAAAACTAAACTTTGAGAAACACAAAAGGGAAGGCTTTTGTCACTGCAAGAGACATCATGGCAACCGGAGAACACAGCATGGAACAAAACCACTTTTGTTTGTGGTGAAAAAAATGAGTTGGAAATAACACAATGGCAGGTTATTATAAACAAGGGAGCCGCTCTTGACACACAGTAAGAGATAGAATGATGAAACTGCACTTGAATTACAACATCCCGTCTCCAGTTATTTGGTAAACTCAATCTCCTCCAGTGGCTTTTTTTTATATTTTTACAAGGGCTTTATCGAGTTGTGAAGTGCTAACAAATGAAACTTTAATCTTTGCTGAACAAGTGTAACAAAAGCAGTTGGAACAGGAAGGAATTAAGAGTAGCGATCGAGATGAGGGGATAGGAGATGCTGGCAGTGTCTTGTTGGGGAGCTGGTTGGCTGCTAATCTTGCTAATCTTGCTGTATTGGCCAATGATTTTTTCTTCCTGCAGGAGGGGAATCGTACACTGCCTCTCATTAGCAGGCGAGCTGCATACAGGCCTCTGAGGACCCGGGCTGTCACTGGGGGAAGAGAATGTTTGTTTATTTCATTATTTCTTACTTTACCAAAGGGCACATATCCACTGAAAACGGTTAATGGCCTGTGGTTTAGGAGTGTTTGTGCTCTACTATCATATCTCATAAAGTATTTACAGCCCCTGATAGGCCCCAGTGGTTCTGGGCCTGGTGGGTAGACTCCTCAACATAGTCCCTAGCTAGTGAGCAATGTTCTCTGTATGTGAACAAACACACCAGTGTGCACAAAAATACACATGCCTACAACACCAGCCCCCAGTAATGGGCTGGAAATCAGAGGAAAGAGAAAACAGCGGATGAACACAGACATACTATGCTTCCCAGTTGTGTATGACTCAGCGGTTGAGGTAACCTGGGGCAAGGACTTGAGCATCTTATGGCAGCAGAGTGGAAAGGTGCAGGGATTTGTTTGTTTGTGGGGGGTGAGGTGATTTTTGTTCTCTGTTCATGCTCCCCCATTACCAGCTGCTCACCTTGGCAAAGAAGCAAGAAGTTTGCAATATGGCACAGGCCTGGCTGTACCCGCGCCATGGCAACCCCTGTGGTCTCCAGCGGCGACCTGGAGCACACTTTGGCAGTGTTTGTTGATTAGGCGATAAGTTCCCGCTTGTGCGCTGGGAGGGGGCGACTTCAATTATGCTCCTCTCCTTCGCAGCGGAGGGAAGGGTGTGATGAGGTCATGCAGCGACAAGGCCTGGCAAACATCTGTCTGACAACATCGCAGGGACGAATCGATGTCTGTGCGAGATACACGTTACCACACCACCTTGCAATTGTTTCCATGCATCACCCACTGATTTTGTCAGGGTGAGATCGATTCTATCATCAAACACTCGAGCCTTTTCTCTGCAATCAAGTATTTAGTTGGCCAAGTTTTATTCAAATGAGGGGCGAATCAGGGCTGTGGGCAGAATTTTAGATATATAGACGTCTCAAGCTCAAGTTCCCCAATGCAACCCCATCACCCCTGAAGATGTTTTTTAACAAAAAGAACCCAAAAAGTCATGGTTGCTGATAAATGTTAATTATTTCATATTTCATAACTAACTATCATTACCTCCGCAAAGGAGGTCATGTTTTCGGTGCCCTTTGTTTGTTTGTCTGTCAGCAGGATTACAGAAGAACTACTGGTCCAATTTTCATTAAATTATGGAGTGGATCCAAATCACAGAGTGGATACACAAATTATATTTTACTTTCGTTAACGTTGCTAGATATGTCAGTTGTAACACTGGTGTCTATGGCAAAATTAACTGAATTTTTTGCACAAATTAAAGTGTGCCGCAACTAAACATATAACAAAACATAACAGACACCTCAAACATGTTGTAGAAACAAATGCATCAGATGTGTAAGAAATTAGCAACCGGGGATGTGATTTTTTTCTGATTAATCCGCAATTCTGGATTTTCAGACCTGCGTGAACATAATAAATGCACAGCTGAGATGATGAAGATTCAGCCAGGCACAAGCATATTTTGACACACTGTAATTCTAATATCTTTGGAAAAAATCCAAACATATATAGTTGTTACATTTGTAGATTTGCATATCATAGAAGACTGGACCTATGGCTATGGTGGAAGTCTGCAAACCCTTCTTTTTAAATTATATTTACTGTAAATGTTATCAGTCTAAATAATGTCTAAATGGTATTTCAACCCTTTAAAGCCTTTTGTATTTCATTTTGTTTTGTTTATTTCTTCAAAAAAAAACTTGAAACTAGTTGATTTTTATTGGTAACAGGTCTAAATATACTAGCAGTTGTTTTTTTGCTTTTTGTTTTTTGTTAAGAAAACACAAAAAAATGATTTAAATGATCAAAAAATGTATATTTTTTGCAGTGTAAGAATGTCAAATTTAAAGATACTGAGTCTAAGATAAAGACTCAGCCTTAAAAAGACACCATGTATGGTTTGTGTGTAATTGCACAATGTAAACTGCTACTCATGTTGTTAAAATCCAAATTCACAGAAACAACACTGAGGACATGACATCTGTGTCCTCAGTAGTAGCAACGGCCCTGCAGCAAAGTGAATGTTGAGATGTACCCGTAATTAAAAGATAACATGCTGGAAACTATGCATGGCACACAAAACAAAATGTCAGATGTCCTCAAGAGAGAAATATATGTTAACTGACATTTCACCTTTAAGTCTCTGCTACTTTGACTGCATTTCTCAAGTTTACACATCAACACACATTTTATAGGCTATTTTTGTGCACAGTCTGAGGCTACCATCTGGCTACATAGAAGGCAGCCAGTTCTCGACAGGCCAGGACACAAGGCCTTAAAGGCTAACTGGCTAATTGCCCTAAGCAGCCCATTTTCAGTGCCATCTTTTTGGCCTAACTCGAGTGAAGCACAAATGGCGGCCAGATCGAGTCTGCACTAACATTTGCTGCACTTGAAGCTGATTAATTTCACAAACAAAGACGGATCGCTTATAAGTTCTCACGCACAGATGTCTGATGAGTACCACTTCACTTGTCAGCCCACTTCAAACTGGAAGATGAAGCACGTAGGAACAGAAATAAATATCTTCTACTGTGAAAAAATGGCAACCATCGGAAATATTATGATATCACTTAGCAGAGAAGGCTGATTGAGTGGAAGGTTTTGAAATATATAGCATATGATTGAAGATATAATGATTTAAGTAAATGCATAATAGTTTGTTTCACAGCTGAGTCACTGCAAAGAAATCTTATCCAATCATATTTGTTTGCAACTGAGTCCTTAAAGCTTAATTTTCTTAAAACGTGAGAATATTTCTACTGTTTGCAAATCAACCAATGCAAATCAACTTAAGTTTTCTTGATTTGAGTGCAGAGACTTTTTTCAACTCAAGACACTCTTATTATAAGTCACTTTCTTTTGAAAACATTTTGAAATTTATTTTATGTTGCTGTTACATACATACATAACCCATTTTAAAGGAGGACTTTTAAAGGAGGTAGTTGGACAAAATCCATCTACCTGCACCTGTAAAACTAATTAACATGTTGCATCTCATTTGTTTCATCCGTAAGAGAACGGAAGTGCGAAAACAACTTTATGCTAAGCTAATCGGCTGGTGGCTGTAGCCTTATATTTACTGGACAGGCATAGGAGTGGTATTGATTTTCTTATCTAACTCTGCAAGAAAGCGTATAAGCATAGTTCCCAAAATGTAAAACTATTCCTTTAAGAAAATAAGGATTTTGGCCTCTGTTACAGTTAGAATTGACTTGATAAGTTGAAGATTTTTTTTTTTGCAATGTCCCAGGAGTCCCAATGTTAATGGATATAGCGTCATGCTCTCTGCCTTTTATACGATTTGGTACCATAGGAGGGCAGAGGAGAAAAGGCTAGCTATTGATGTGGCAGGGCTTCATGGTGACCATAGTGAATGCACATGTGGCTTTCTTTTCTCCCCCTGTGACAGTTTAATTGTATTTTCAATATAAATTGATCAAAGGGCCATTGTGAATGCACGTTGGGCTGCCACATTGATTTCCGGGAGAGATTTTTTTTCCCCCTCTTAATTTGAGTAGAAGGGCAGCAGTAAATTCTCCTCACCAGCAAGGTGGGCAACTGGGAGGGATGGAGTCACTGTAGCAGGTCCTGGAGTTCGATACTCTGAGCTGCCTTGTAATATCCTTCAGAGGAATGAGGAGGAACTCTTCAGAACCACAAGAACTCTCTGTTTCCATAGAAATGACACAGCATATGTCACACTGTCTATCGCACATCTCAGCCGAAAGGAGAGGACTCAACGGTTATTAACTGAATTGTCGTGCCGGCAGAGATAGGCAGCTTGATAGACAATCATAGAAAAGGACATTGCAGCTATAACAGCGGGAGAAAGATAATAATGTTGAAGTGGATTGTTTTCAGCCAACTGAGTCTCTGTTTGGAAGCACATACTGTAAAGCAGAACAGAAAACAAATAAAATTCTGCTGGATAGTCTGCTGGCTTGGTTCGACAGAGAGCATAAGAAAAAAATTATTTTTTACGTGTTTTTTTTTTTTACCAGAATTCAAATGGGTTAATGAAACAGTGCTCCACTCTAGATCCTAATCCGAAGATGCAAAAATTCTGCAACACACTCAACTGGCTGGTTGGACAGACAGAGAAAGGAATGAAAACAGTCATTTTTACCAGCATTCAAGCAGGCGAACAAAACAGTGTTAAAGATGCTAATCCACAAAGCTGTTCGTCTCACATGTGCCAGCTTTGCCCTGATAAAACAGCATGAATTAGTAAAGCTTCCGAGCACCTGGGATGAAAAGCTTTTTAATATATGATGAGAAGGGAGACTTTGCAGTGTGCTCCCACGTGACCCAGCTGCAACGCACAATATCCCCCCTCAGTCTGTCCACCGGCAGAGCCAAGAACGTAGACAACACAACAACTCACGCTCAAAGGAAAATATGCAGCCCAACCATCAAAATCAAACTTGAGTGAGGCTTACTTGAGTGAACAACGTGTCTGTAACAGACCTCAGAATAACGTCCTAGCACCCACTTATAGGGGTAAACATTCAGATGGCGTTAGCCTCAGTTTGTACTTTGCAAACATGTACACTCCTTTTACCCTTTACCTCCCCCTGCAATTATTACCATGTCCTTGGTTATTAAAGAGGGTAAAGGGAAGTAGGCAGGGAAGCAGTGGGAGGGGAAACGACTGGACAAGCTTTTGATGAGTTCTCTGAGATAAATATGTTGGGGGGATTTGGTGGTGGAATTAAAATGTCAGTGCATGCTAAGCTGCTGTTCATGCAGAAAAAAAATTAAACAGGAGATAGAGAGAGAGAGAGCAAATAATAATGAGATGCTCCACAGACAAGTGGACTCTCGTGGTCCTCTGGCATGTTGGTCATGTTGCTGATCCATCAGGGATTGGCAGGCTGGCGGACGTGTGTGGACTCATGCTGGTACTTCACAGACTTCGACCCACTGGCATTCTGTTTTACATCACTGTGAAAATGCCACCGTGGCCCTGCGGTAAAAAGTGTGACAACCTGTATGTAACAATACCAGTAAATGCTACATTTTAAACGCTCCGGCTGTGTGTTTTCTTCTTGGCAGGATGTGAATTTCACAGGCGAGGTGAAGCCACAAATGTGTATCGTCGTAACGCGATGACAGTTTACTAAAGATGATATGAATCTGTTAAATAACACCAAACGTACTTATCAAAGCTGTCAGTGTTTCTTTGCCAAGGCCCAGATTGGTCAGATCACTGATATGTGCACAGTGTATCAGAAATACTTAAGTGGAAAACTGTGATTCTGCTTTGAAATTTGATTTTTTTGACATCTGTAGTAGAAAGTGCTCATTGCTGGATTTTTCTTTTGCTCTGCACTTGTCAGAAATCTGTCAATCAAACAGTGCTGCCAGATGTGTGATGATTCTGTTTTTTCTTGGACTTTATGTAGATGAAGTTCACATTGACTGTTCCTGGTCATGCTAACTAGGAGATATTTCCCTGGAAAGAGCTAGCTGATTCTTAGTGTTCATAAGAGCAAATTAACCAAATGTGAAAGCTTTCATAAACTGGAGTTTGAATCACTGTTGTGCTATAACAATTGACAATGGAGAGCTGCAAAGTGGAAATTTATTAAAATGAAAATGCCACAAACTGCTGGTTGAAATTGTTGTTTTGGTGCTGCGGGGATCCGCATTATCATGTTTTCTTTTCTTTTCTCCACAGCTTCACTCAGACTCAGATCGAGGAGATGGAAGCGTGAGATACGTCCTCACAGGTGAGGGAGCGGGGACCCTTTTCAAGATAGACGAGAAGTCAGGAGACATCCACGCCACCAAGAGGCTGGACAGGGAGGAGAAGGCCTACTACATCCTCCACGCCAAAGCTGTCAACCGTTTCACCAACGAGGCCCTGGAGGGTCAGTCCGAGTTCATAATCAAGATCCACGACATCAACGACAATGAGCCTCGGTTCACCAAGGACCCGTACATGGCCAGCGTCCCTGAAATGTCTGACATCGGTAAGTGCCTGCCATAAATATTCCTCACACTTTCATGAGCTCTTCATGTTGTAGTATCCATATACACTATAGGGCTGTGAGATCATTCATCAGTCCTTGACTTGTAGTGGAATGGTATCAGTAGAATATGAGCAGTGGAAAACAGTGGAACAAAGGTTTATTGGACATCAGTGTGATTGTACGTGAAGGTTCAGATTTGACCTGGGAAGTTTTGTCACAAAATAATCAACTCAAGGTCCCCTTACTTGCCTTTTCCCAGAGCCTTGAATTACATCCCTTGGTCTTCATCAGCAGGGACTCCATCCATCTCCTGATGAAGACTGTGAGATGTGGTTGAAAGCTCTGGAAAAGGTTCATCTTGAGTTAAGATTCGTCACACAGTGTGATATGATAAACACCTAAATCATTAGGCATTGTAAAAGAATCACCCATACCATACACAGCCCCACCCACCCCCGCACTCCTGAGTTTGGCCATATAGAGAAATGATGAATGAAAACTAAACAACCCCAAAAAATAGATCAGTAAATAATAATAATAATAATAATTCATCAAAACAATAATCAGGAGATGAAATGATCATTAGTTGCAGCACAAATACAGTGTATACAGTATGAGTGAATGCAGCTATGATGTAACTATGATATCCAGTAAGAAATGAGAAATAAGAAATTAGTTGTTGAATGTGTACACCAGACAAAGCGAGTTGCATTTATTGTGCAAAACCATATTTATTGATCATAAAACAGACAATAATTAAGTGCTTACACAAATGAAGGTGTGTGCTTGTGCGTGTGAGGAGCAGGATTAAAAGGCTTATGATTCAGATAGGATAGAGACGTTCTAAAATGCCAGTCTTACCGGATCAATGGGACTTTATCAATCATAATAATGATGCAGACTCAACAAAGAGGGTCCGACTAATTAAGTGAGAAAGCCTAGGAGCTGTTTTATGACCAGAGAATAAACAAGGTAAAGCGTCTCTGTGACGGTTACAGCACTGGTGCAGATAATCTTTTAAATACAGTATTGTATCTTATTAAAACAGTATTCAATTTAATTACCAGCATTGTCAGCTGTGTCATCACAGTGAATAATTATGGATTCCATTGCCGCAGTGCCAGTTTCTGAGACAGCACCATTTGCTGTATTCTTATTATAATTTCTTCTTGTCATTCAGCACCCAATTAAACTTTAATTCACCGTGCACTTTGGCTCTAGCTCTTAGTCTAAAAGTACATACTGGACTCATGAATATAGATAAACAATATAAAAAGGTTCCTAATCAATACTTGCATGAAAACATGGAGTGAACTCTCTGTTCTGCTGCTGCTGCTTCAGGGACTGAGGGACATCGGTCTTGCAGCCCAGACATGTGACAGAGTTGTCACTTGGTTCAGCAACCCCAAGAGAGAGGCCAGCACTTATCTAAGGGCAGCACGGGTGCCCATGGCAACAACCGAGGTGTGATGTCACCGCTTGGCAGAGCATGTGTTCACGAGTGACTGCGTCGAGACACTGCCCCTTTAAATGTGACATACACTTTGAGTTTTATTATAGTCTCACAGCTCTGACGTTCTTCTCTCGGACGCTTAGTAACAGACGACTTTGACGCTCCCCTTCTTTGACAACTGAATGATTATAGTTGAAGGTAATTTACTCCCCCTGCACAAAAACTGCGATTATTCCTGACTTGTTTGTCAGAAAATTCTTTTCAAAAGCTCAAAGTCGGCGATGAGATGGCTGATGTGGATCAGTGATATTTTCTAAAAGCCGCAATGTCAGAAAAGCCTCTTTGAGTCTAATTCCCTAGTTAAAGGTATTAGTGATCAAGGTTCGGTGAACTTGCTCAGGAATCCTCCCGAACTGTCACTTACACCAAATCAGACAACCGTGGTCTTTCTCTCTCTGCTTTCTTGGTCCCCTAATTTTTTTTTTCCACAACATCCTTCATCCATACAAATGACATTGATTTTAAAGGAGGGGAACTCTCCTCTCGCCCCATTCAGATCATAACTGACATCAAATTAGAGAAGTTTCATGGAGTCGTTATCCCATTGTATTGCACAATTCTATATTTATACCACTTTGCCATTAAATATTTCTACTCAATTAATTTTCTTCTGCATGTAATGAGGCAACACTTGGGCCCGCAAGGCGCCATTTGGGAGGTAGCACTTGGCTAACCATTTCCCTTTGTTCTACTGAAACGGGGCTTCAGCATCTCTGGAAGAGAAAATGGATCACAGTCATTCTCCTGCTATCAGATATTTGGCTTCTTAGACACTCCAGATCTGTGGATACGCTAATAGGCTTGGGGGTGGGGGTTGCAAAGAACCGGTGTCGGTGCTGCTTGTATGCTTAGAGAGATATACTTGGAAAAATACATTAGGACTTATCGATTACCTGCAAAAATCAATCATGTATAAGGGTATAAGTGGCCAAGGAATAAAGATTGGTTTGGGTAATGCAAAGGGACAGAAATGATCAGTCACATTCTGCATGAGCATGATTAGAAGCGGATTGGACACACCATCAGAAGGTGCATCAGCTTAACCAATTATCCAGCAGGTAATTTTCAGCAGTATTGAAGAGTTGATCTAAATCACTGTCATGAATCTTTTCCCCCCAGGCACCTCTGTAATTCAGGTGACAGCCACAGACGCAGACGACGCCACCTACGGGAACAGCGCCAGGGTGGTGTACAGTATCTTGGAGGGCCAGCCGTACTTTTCTGTGGACCCAGAAACCGGTCAGTGTTGAGTTAAACGTAAATTCCACCCCAAAATGCAAACAATATAGAGCTATTGGTGGTGTAAACTCCCTGCCTCCATTTTGTTGTGTTTGTTGTTTGAGAGTGTAAAGTCAAGTCAAGTCAATAACAATTCATCTAGGAACTGAGTCTTAAAACAAGCGGAAAGATCTGCCAGAGCAGTGAGAATATTTCAACATGTTTTCCAAAATCCAGTTGTTTCAAGAATCTTCACTTTTTGAAAAGCCAGAGCATTATGCTATATTCATGAACAATGGGACTTTGGGGCTTTTTCACTGCAAAGAAATTTCCATCTGAAGTCACGTTTGTTAATATCCTAAAAATCTTATTTTCCTAAAAAGTAGAAAAATGTGCCACTACAGTAGCAGCATATTTAAACCTGTTTCCAATAGGACTTGGTTCAAGGACTTTATAGAAATTATTGTCATTATCTTGAATGAATCAGCATGGCTTTGCTAGAATCAAGTAAAACTAAACTTTATTTTATAAAATGCTATGAAGTAAATGATTGTCGTTGGAATTAAGTTTAAATAATCTCATAGGATAGATGAGACTTTAATCACTTTACTGACAACAATGACGTGATAAAGTTGAGATTTTTGCAGTGTTGCGATCTTTTCAGCTCAGCAGCAGTGGGATTTGATATCAGAAATGTATCGAAAACATCAAACATGAACCCCCTTGTGTTAGTGTTGGTCATTCAGAATAAAAAGACAGGGTCTTCTTTGTAGACACTTCATTTTGCACCAAATGTAGCTCCCATACAAGAAATAATCCATCATACAAAAGGCAAAGATTATAATTTATCCTTATCAAGTGTGGCCTCAGTAGACCAGCATGTACTGCAGCCATGAAGGATATTGCTTTCTAACTAATGTGCACTACTCCTCAGCTCTAACAATACTACCGCCGTTGCATCCCCCACCTACATATGTAACCCGCAACAGAACGCAACAGGTTTACACCCTTCGTCTGGAGGTGGCCATTCTGGGAAACATGACAAATCACGAAGTGAAGCAGAAATAGAGGAGGCTAGCTGAGCTTTACCAGGAACGTAAATTAAAACAATTTATCATGAAATAACTCTGTAATGCTGTGACTGTAACCGAACCAACAATACCAACATGTATGCCTCCTCTTGCAGGCTGATCGGGCGAGGGGGATTTGTAGTAGAGAGAGTGGCAAATCACCAACCCCCAAAATGTAGCGCTTGCTAGTTTTAATCATTAATGTGCGCTTTGGAACACATCCTGCTCGTGTCTTTTTTGCTTAAACAAAAGGGAAACGACAAAAAAAGCCATTTGCAGATTAGTGGAGGGATTAACAGTAATATGGTTTATCCCACATGTGGTATGTAAGCTGACATCCCCTCTTACACAAAGACATGCCTGGACATCACATTATAAGCAGGATTTGTTTCTCCTCTTCTCCTCTGTGTGTGTGTATTGTAGTCATTAAGCAATAACAAAGGTAGACAAAGATATAGAGCAAGCGGGATGCTGCTAGAAGGCGGGCTGTGCGTTTGCTCCTTTTCTTGCAACACCGGCTGAACGATTGCTGTTCTCTAAACAGTGTGTTGTCCGTGAGATGAATTGCACATTGTTAGCAGGGAAAAAAACAAGTTGCAGTGTGCCTGCATTTGGTTTTTGCCATGTTATGTATGGGGGGAAGAAAAGAGCAAAAGAGGGCTTCTTTGAATAGTGTAGGCCAGTCTGTACTGAGTCTGAGTGATGCGCCACATCAGCCTCTCCCGTTTCCTTATTGTTTGATATGCAATGAATCATCCATTCAGACTGAAAGTGGTGAAGTTTGTCAAAGCAGTTTATTTAGGGTGAAATATTTTTTTTTTCACCTTTTATCTCCCACTCTACTACGTGTTTCTGTCTCTCTCCCCCCACCTGCTTCTTTTTTTTACGATGCATCAAATTCAAACGCGTAATAGCAGACAGGATTTAAGACCGGCTCAGATGGGAGATGGAGCACACCTTTTGAATATGCTGCCAATTACCGCTTCACTCAGTCTCTGTCCTGACTCCAAACTAGAGATCTAACGTGTCAGAGCCGAGAAGTAAGCAACTGCATGGCACTTGAAAGGCTAAACATTAACAGAGTCTTAATTCCAAAGAGAAGATAAATGCATTTGGAGGTGAATGTTACACTTACAAAATTAAAGGAATGCGCTGTGGTTTTGGTAGATTGGCCCTTTGGTCCACTTACCAGTTAAATCATGAGAAAACAGACACCAAAATGTGCTCCTGGGTGGCCACTGAGCTCCATGCCACTGCGCATACTAAGCAAGAGCACTGACCTTTCAGTAATAAAATGTTCATAGTGGTTTAATTATCTGGCCTGCAGAAGCATAAATAAAAAGAACAGTATCAATACAGCTCATATAGACAAGCTTATATTTCAGAAATATTTTAGGGGATTGTTAGATATACTATTTGTTGACTGTGTTCATACTGTATATCTTAGTTACATCATAGCTGCATTCACTCATACTGTACACACTGTATTTGTGCTGCAACTAATGATTATTTCCATTATCATTTCATCATGAATTAGTTAATAGTTTCAGTTTCCCAGAGTCTGAGGTGATGTCACCTAAATGTTTAGCTGACAATAAATTAAACGGAGAAAAGCAGCAAATTGGGGTGGTGATGGAGCAGTGGATAAGACACATCCCTTTGGTGTGAGAGACCTGGGTTCAACTCCCCACTGCGGCACATCCACCAATGTGTCCTTGAGCAAGACACTTAACCCCTAGTTGCTCCACAGGCTTGCGACCTCGACACGTATAGCAATTGTAAGTCACTTCGGATAAAAGCAACAGCTAAATATAATTGAAATATTCATACCTGCACTTAGAATAAAAACATGTTATTAATTAATGATCAAAATAATTGCCAATTATTCTTCTGTCGATCGATTAATTCAGCTGTACACTGGATATTGGTTTATTGTTCAAATTGTACGTTCATTTATCCTTATTTACACTATATCTATATGCACTTTGCTCCTGTTTGCACCTTGTAGTTAGATTGTAAACTGCATTTTGTTGCTGTGTGGAACAGTATACTTACTGTGCATAGACGAGAGATCATTCTACTGTAATTCGGAGCTCGATAAACTAGTTAGAACAGAGTGAATGACTTTCAACTAGCCCTTCTTTAAAAAAGAAACTGCATAGCTTAAACTCATCAGTTTCATAATTTTTTTAAACTAATTTTGTATTTCATGTTCCATCACACCTAAATGTTATGTTTGCTGCTGCAAAAGGACACTGTTGACCGCAGTTGAAGGTCAACGAGGTCACGAGTTCCTCTTGTGCTGAGCACACCTCAGAAAATGCTTTTAGTTATAGAAAGTGAAGAGTAAAATGGGCAAATGAGCTGCTGGTAGTGCAAGTGGTTAAAAAATGTTTGGGAACGCAATTCTCAGCAAGGTCAGATTTTCATCCAGGTTTTTAACAATCAAATTAAGCATTGATAAATGCTTTTAGGTTTGCCACTAATTATCGATTAGTGTGCCAATTATCTTCTTGATTGGTCAATTAATCACTTTGTCTATAAAATGTCAAGTAACAGTGAAAAATGGCCATTATAATTACCTAGAGCTAGAAGGTTGGGCCTTTAAATTACCTGTTTTATCCTTGCATCAGTTCTCAACCCAAAGATATTCAGTTAACTATCATAAATGACAAAGAAATGCATGAATTTTTCACATATTGAAAGCTGAAACAGGCAAACTTATGCCATTTTGGGAGGAATTCTGAAATTCTGATTTTCTTTATACATATTAAAACTGAAATATATGAAAAAAGAGGCTTATGATTCACTTGACTAGGCTATTAATTAATAATATAGATTAAAATAAACTCTCACCACAATTCTGTGTATTTTTCCTCAGGCCTGATCAAGACAGCCCTGCCTGGCATGGACAGGGAAGTCAAGGAAAACTACCAGGTTGTGATCCAGGCTAAAGACATGGCTGGACAGATGGGCGGCCTCTCAGGAACCACCACAGTCAGCATCACCCTCTCCGACGTGAACGACAACCCGCCACGCTTCACCAAAAGTGAGTACAGCCTCCTGGAAACCCACACACCCACACACACACACACACACACAGAGTGACCAGTACTCAGCCCATGAAAAGCACTTGTCATTGTGAGCCGGTGCCAGGCAGGCAGCCCCCATCTGGTGTCAGTTTCAAAATGAATATGGATTATTTCAGGGAGCTCTGGGTTTTGTGTGACTAAGGCGGGCCTCTTAAAGGCAGCGAATAATTAAATATAGAGCCACATGACAGAGTGAAGGGTCCTGCAAAGTGCATCAGATCAGCCCTGTAATCCCTATTAAACGAAGAAAGTACATTCACTGGGTTTTATCTCCCCTACTCTTCCACTCTCTTTGTCTATCTCCAGCTATTAAGTCTATCTTCTGCTGCCTTTTACTACATAAAACCAAGTGCTCGAACTGTCCTTGGTGCACCTTTTCCCTCTTTTTGTTACCCTCTAACTCATCAATCATCAATCCATCCTTTCTTCTGCCTTCCTACTCTCTTTCAGTCTCACACATTGTCACCCTTTCTTCTCTCAGCCCCCTCCCACCCGTCTCACTTCCTCTTGTGCATCTGGCAAACGGCGAAGGAAGCCAGATCAGACTGACAGATTACTGGTGTCGTCGTGTTTCCCCTCAGTAACAGCAAGTGCCAACTGTACAGTGGGCGCCGCCTGTGCACAAACGCACAGCACACACGCAGCCGCACAACTCCCGCCGTCACCCTCATTTATCACGGCCTCCTCCCACCAGCTCGGGGGAGGGAGGGGGGTGAGGCAGACGCTGTCGTCTCAGGCCCATATACCAATGAATGAACAGTGAGAGGACGGAGGGAGATGGATACGACAGGGATGGAGGAGGTGACAGGAGGGGAAGATAGAGGAAGAAAGAGGAAGAGTGATGCGGGCGACATAAAGACAGCCTGTGATGGAGGGAGGGGGGGAGACAGACAGAGGGGAAGATTGAAAGAGGGAAAAAGAGGAAGAGATATTGTAATGGGACACCCAGAGGAGGTAGAGTGTCAGGAAACGATATCATTGTTGTCTGCCGGAGTGATGCCTCTTCTTTTCCACCCAATGCTAAATACCTGTTAGCCCAGGGAAACCTTCTTGTGGTGCGTCGCTTTCAGTGTGTGTGTGTGTGTGTGTGTGTGTGCGGAGGCAAGTGTCAGCGTCACAGAGACCTGCCGACTCAGGCGTTGCCAAAACACTGTCAGCATGTTTTATTAGTGTGTCAGTGCTGTTTGTCTCCGCAGGCTGTGTGTATATCACGCCCGTTCCCTCCTGCAGTCCGGCTATTTATTTAAGCATACGAGATGCAGCTGGGGACGCCGCGGCCGACAGGCAGCCATCAATTTATATCCGCCTCAAACCAGGAAATCATCTTACCAAAAAAAAAAAAAAGAAAAAAAAGACAATTAATTTATGTTGAGCAAATTGGCTCAGAATTTATGCTACATATTAAACTTTCAGTAGCGAGTAAACTTAAGTGAAAGGATAAATGTCTGTTTTGGAAATGAAATATGTTTCATCGCCCATGAAATGTCTTTCCACAGCTGATCTACGAATGTTGCAGCACTAAATCTCCCAATCGCCTTCTCCTTTTCACACACACGCGCTCTCCCCCACTCTTCTATTGCTTCTCTCTGATTGGACTGACTCACTCTCTCTCTGACTTGCTCTCTTGTATTCTTGCTCTCTGACTCACCCGCTTACACTCTTTCTTTTGTCACTAACAGGGTCATAAAAAATACAGATGCTCGTTGGGTGGCAGGGGCTAGGGAGTAAGGGGATATATCCTATGTGTTTTTGTAAATGAATCTCTAGGTGAATTCCTATTCCGGCCCTGAGGGTCAAAACAACAACAACAACAACAACATTTCACAAAATACCACAACTTCTTGTTGGTGATTGGACGGAACCTAGGTCATTTCAGAGTTTATTGACTAGATGTGTTACGGTAGGTTGGTGCTAGATTGGATCAGCTGGAGGGACACTCTAAACTCTACGCTGCGGGGATTGGTTGTCAGGAAACTGATCACGCTCTGGGCATGTGTTAAAGTTAACTAGAATGGTGAGCGTCACAGAAGTCCCTTCGATGGCTATCTGGCCATGCCTTTTGTTTTACTGAAAAATAAAGAAAAACGGCATACACACAAGGCTTCTTTTCTGCAGTGTGTTTCTGTGTGGAGTCAGATGTGCTGTATAGAGTAGAATAATAAAATATAGAGCCATATGACAGAGCGAAGGGTTGTCCTCCACATCTCATTCACGAAGTATTCTCATTACCATCTGTCTTTAACACACAGACCATGTTTCTGCTTTAAATCAACCTCATAGTCTACCACATCTGAATCTAAACATCTGTCCAGGTCCGCGCAGCTCTGATAAGATGGCCCTTGCGATGTCACTTGTTGAACAGCAGCCGCCCAGAATTCTTTCAGGCGTGTTTTAAGGGTTCCACGAGAAATTTTAATGTCGTGACATGTTCAAACATATAGAGACTTGCATAATATGAATGTCCTTTGTTAAAATATTCCCTTTTGATTTCAACCTCCTCTCCCATCCTTTCAACTCAGTTTAAAATTCATGCAAGTACTAGTACACAATTGAAATTCAATTCAGGAAATGACACTGAACTGTCACCAGGGACCTGGGTTCTGTCTGATCATAAACAAGAAGTGTTGTCCCATCTTTTCCATAATCTGAAATGTTGCTGCATTTTATGAAATGTTTTATGAAATGTCACTGGGCCTCATGCAAGAACATTTTTGTATCTTAACTTTCTCTTAATTTTATTTTGTACGGTGTGTGCCAGATTCAGCAAACGCTCCTAACTTCAGATAGCTGTGTAAATGACCCGCGTAAACATGGTGAATGCCTTCTATGCGCAAATGAGCGCTCTCATGAGAATTGTAAATTAGCATAATTAGTACCCCAATAACAACATATAAGGCTATGTGTCCTGGCCCATGTGTCAGGAAGTGTTCATTCGTGAAAATGACATGAGTAAAAAGAAGAACTTTAAGAGTTCAGAGATTGAAGTCCTGCTCTCTGAGGTCCACAAGGTAAAGTCTATCATTTTTAACAGTTTAAGCATTAGAATTAAGGGAATAAAGTCCACATTTACAAAAGCACAGCCCGTGGTTATCTAAACTGCAACAACAACCATTCATCTGTCTCTGCCAATATATCAGCATGCTGTCACTCTCTTCCAAAGGCCTGACGCGCTAAAGCATCCAACAGATTACACCTCCAGCTGACCTTATTATATTCAGAGACAAATTAACCTTCAGTTAGTGCATAATTTAAGTCGTTTTGCAGTTTGTGACGTTCATGTTGATATTGTGGAGTTATGCTGTAGCATCAATAGCCAGTTTAAATGGATTATGATATTGTTAGGCAATATGAATAAATTTAGGAATATATATTACAATTTCAATTCGAGTCAAACAGGATAATGTCAACATAATTATAAGTGTAATTTATATAGGATTTTCAAACTCAAAATTGCTTCAAAGTAATGAAGTAGTGAAAAACGTAGGTTGGGATAACAGCAGACTAATTGCACTTGACTCCTACGATATGTCTGGACCACTCTGTTCTACAAGTGGTCTTTCATGTTTTGTGTTTTGTGAAATGTTGTTTTGTTTTGACCCTCAGGGCCACCGTACATTTAATGCTTCTTGATTAAGCTTTTAATTTTGAAATAATTTTAAAAGAAGCATTGATTCACCTCTCCATGTGTGATAAACTTGGATGTAGAATAGAAATACCAAGGACGTGACCTCAGTTGTCATGGCCCTGCTCACACACACGCTCAGTCTTGGACTTGCTTACGCTCCTGCTTTCTCTAGCCTTTTCTTTTTCTGTACTCCTTGACAATGCTGCTGTGATTGACCAATTCTTCTTTTCATCCAACCACCAATTCACAAAGACAAACTTCTTTCTTCCCAGCCCTGTACGAATTCCGAGTGCCCGAGTCCACCGAGCTTGGCTCTGTGGTGGGAGTGATCCGGGCGATGGACGCAGACATCGGTGAGAACGCAGAGATGGACTACAGGATCATGGGGAGTGACGGTCCCGGCATGTTTGATATCACCACCAACAGGAGCACACAGGAGGGCGTCATCGTGTTGAGGAAGGTCAGGGACCATCTGTTAATATTGGGCGAGGGCTGTAATGGGGCTGAGCAAGAGTGGAGTTTCTAGTGGGCGGTGTGTGTGTGTGTGTGTGTGTGTGTGTGTGTGTGCGGGGTGGGGTGGGGTGGGGGTGTCATCTTACTGTCCTGCTGAGAGATAAAAACAATGATATGCTCATTACATTACAGCTATTACAGCAGTAAGCTTCATGCTCAACAGTTAGTGCTTCGTTATCTTCTTTTGCCCTGGGTTTCGCCTGTCAAGCTGCCCTAACACTCTCATTGCTTGAGCTTATTGGTGCGCCACACTGCCTCAGAGGAAGCCATCCAGTCAAAATTTACATGTACAATAAAGGCTTATCTATACAGGAGACATTTCAGACGTGACTTTCAGTCATCTGTCTCATGCACGTCTGAAGGAACAGATAGGCTTTTATTTTAATCAATACAGCTGTCTACACATAGAGGACTGGAGCTGCTGCTGCTCTGCTTATATGCTCCTTTAGCTACACAGGATGTGTAGACATTGTGTAAATATTCTTCTAGATGTGCACTAGAAGTGAACATCAAAATAAGATACGACATCAAAGTTATTATCCTGTAGATTTTAGTCCTGGTTGATTTGGCGGCACCAGTGGTTACTAGTCGTAACAGCAAGTTCAATTTAATTTGTATTCATTTTTTTTATATATTATTTAATTTTATTTATATAGCAAGTGCCAATTCACACATTCATGCACAAAGAGCGGGTCTAGACCGTAGATGTGTGGTTTAATACTACAGCAAACGCTCCCTGAACAGCTACTGTGTCAGAGATACAACAGAAGAGCAACTGGTGTGTTCGTTTACTGCTCAGCCAAACAAACTCACATTGTTTTAATAAAGATGTTTGCACATGGGGCGAGATGTGTCCACACAACAGGAGGACACGGTGCTGTTAGTTACCTTGCTGAAGAGTTGGAGGTGTGAAGCCATTTGCCAGCAGCTTGTCATCACACAGCCCGATGTGGCTGCTTCGTCTTTCTCTGTTACTCTGCCATAATTTAAACTGATCCCCTGTCAAAATATCCAGAAAATGACCATGTCTTGTTTTGTAGACATGTTGTTGATGAGCAATCACAGTAAGCACAGTAACCGCAGTGACAGGTTCCAGTGACTGGGTCACAGCACCCTGTATTTTGCCAGCTGAAAACTACTGGAGAGATAATTACACAATATAAATACTTTGAAGGCCTATTGTTGAAAAAATACAAACCATAAATAGCATCAAAAATGTTTCAGTAGATATGTAAATACAACATTATCTATCATCATCTTTATGAATGAAACTAAAAATGATTTAAGTAGGGTCAGTTAATTACTGAAACAGTCATTTTATGGTTATTTTTTCACACAGTTTCAAGTTTTTACTTTTATCTGTTTTGTTTGAGAATCCTTGACTTCATTGTGCATTACTCTTATATACGGGCAAAAAGGAGAAACAACACAATGAACTGCATTCAATAAAGAAAAAAGTCCATATTCCATATGCTCTGATAGACAGAAGATGGACAGTAGAGTTATTAGATTTTAACTTGCCCACACTCCCAGTACATGTGTTTTGAGTGAGATTCATTCTTCCTCCCAGCTGAGACCAAAGCAGAAATATTGATGCTCTGTATGGATCGCAGCATTCAGCGGTGTGCTGTGGTGTGTTTCTGATGTATTCAACAGAATCTGGCAGTTGCCTTATCAAGCGCCCTCTCTGCAGCCTTCGATCGATCGCTTCCATCATGCCATCATTAAGTGGAGGATGACATAATTGCCTTTTGTAGCCGCTGCGGTGCTATAGTGGATGTAGTGTGCGGGCAGAGTGTGTGTGGAGAATGAGCATGCCCTAATTCTGAACCTACTAATTAATTGGACTTGTCAAGTGGGAGTGTGTCCCATCTTCGCTTGTACTGGCCCTTCAAAGTCATATATTCCTCCCACTGACATGCGGTCCCCCCCTGCCTTAACAAGAAACGGCGAAAATCACTGACTCATATTATGTTATTATTCATGGCTTCAGAGAACGGCACGCTCCATGTGGATTTTTCAAGCTTTCATTGGCTGTTTCCAGCGATCACGAACCCAGCGTCCTTTCATATGTACAGTAGGCAGCCTGTGAGGAAGCTCACTCTGATCCAGCTGCTCCCGCGCCTGGCGCACAGTCATTAAAATGCACTGCTCCCCAATTATTTCCATCAATAGGGGGATACCTTCAGTGGCTACAACTTCAAAAAAAGAGTTCAGAACTGGAACATTAAAGCAAAAGCATACCGCCAACCTGCACTAAAATGCAGAAAACATTGGCAATCATGCAGAAATCAGGCTACTAATCATTGTGCACAGTCCATAAATTATAGGATGAAGTGAAGAGTAGTGTGCAGTAGATGCAAGATTATAGGGGACCATGTCTAAAAATTACCATAGTTGCGTCTTTTTAAGTAATCAAATAGGTAAAATGAAAGTATAGCAACAGAAAACGTCTGGCATAAACACATATTATAAGACAATTTATACATATATTTACTGTCAAAGCAACCCACCAAGTATTGGAAAAAAGTGTAGATGTTGTTATATCTTTATGAGGGTCATCATTTCTCTTTTAGAAATGTATGTGCAGCACCCTAATTATTAATAATCTCACATAATACTTATGTATAATACCATTTTTAATTAAGTATGAATATCGTTTAATGTCAACCAAATACCTAAAATATAAACGTAGAAGTCATCAGCTTCGTCATTCAACAACCATCAGTCAAGAGATTCTTTGATGTTTTTTTTAAAAGTTATTTTTTTTAATCTTTTTCCATCCTTATTAATAGACTCAAATGTGTACAACCTTGATACACCCTTAAACATTTAAATAGTACATGTTTTTCTCTGCATTATGATTCATATTTTCCATCATGGAGTCAAATGAAACACCACTGACACTCCAAACAACAATATTTTCTCTGTTGTTTTTGTACTAATCTGACATGCTGATCTCTTGATTTAAAAAAAAAAAAAGAAGCAGCAAAATGAACAGATGTCACCCAGCAAACATCCAGCTACAACTTTGATTGATTGTTTCATAGAGTGTGGCGGGGATCAGAAAAATCAAGTTGAAAAGCACAAACATCCAAGAAGTTGCGATATCTTTGTTTCTGCCTAATGAAACAGAAACAAAGAAAACAAAAGAAAAAGAAAATGTACATAGTTTATACACTATTTAGTATGAATACTGAAAAACTGCAATTATAAGTAAAAGAGAGAAACACTAACTTCACCAAACCAGATTCCCTGGCGAGAGAGCTGTTTTTGCACATTAACCTGGCCATCGTCATATTAGTTTTCCACCAAAATGCCACATCAGTCACATTATTCAGGACAGCAGTTAGTGTAAGGCCTTTATATGTCCAAAAGAGCGCAGACCTGATCTGTGCAGCAGCCCATGTGTGTCCATCAACAGTCTTGTTAGTGTCCTTGAACAAGACACTAAGCCCCCTCACACGCGCTCATTAGACGATGCTCTGGAAAAGATTGTCAGTTTAATGAATAAAATCCCAATCTGACCTGAAATTAAATGTGGCAGGATGCACTGAATGGATATTAGTTTTCCCAAGATCAACAGCTGAGCGTGTTGCTGCATACAAATGAATGTTTAAAAGTAAACAAAAGCTGTGATTGGAGCAAAAAACAAAAAGTCACTTTTCAATTTTCAAAGTCAATTTTCTTTTTAATTCAAGAAAACAAAGGAAACACGTTAAGTTATATTTCATTAAACATCTTAGTCATGCGTCTTCTTTCTCTTTTGCAGCCTCTGGACTATGAGAGGAAGCGGCAGTACAGTCTCCGTGTTCAGGTGGAAAATGTTCACGTCAACCCTCGCTTCTACTCCGTCGGGTCCTTCAGGGACGAGGCCTCCATCAAGATCATTGTGGAGGACGTGGATGAGCCGCCGGTGTTTGAGCGTTCCAGCTACGTCATGGAGGTCAAAGAAGACGCAGCCAGGAACACCGTCATTGGCTCCGTTAGTGCGTCTGATCCTGATGACAAAAACAGTCTTGTCAGGTACTGAACCACATCTTATCTTAAGGGACCATATCACATATTGTGCCTGTTTTTGTCCGATCACTAAAAGTCATATATATTTAACTCCACAGCGAACCTTTACGCAACCTATGCTGCTGTGTTTTAGATTATTTAACGCATTTTAAGTCAGACATTTGTTTCCATCCAATTCTGTAAAATTTGACAAAAAATCATCTCAAGCTCCCCTTCCTAGCATTTTTTCAGAGCTTTCAACTGCTTCTGAGCACCTTTAGGATCTCTTTTTCTGTGCAGGTCAAAAAGTGAAAGTTTGAGCCAATACAGTGAACCTAAAAGTGCTCAGGAACAAACAGTAAGATGAAGATAAAAGTACCGGATAAAGCTACTGAGCACATCAGTTTAAATTTTTAATAATTTAAATTTAAATATTTTTTTTTACTTTTTAATTAAGACTACTTGAATTATTTATAATAACATTATCATGAAGTGAGTGGTTAAGTGCAGACTGATTTGAATATAAATTTCATACTGTGCGAACGTGAATGTAAACCAACGCCTGGAACCAACGGCGTCAAAAAATGCAAAACTGTTCATACATAATGAATTTGAAGATGGTCAGCAAAAAATTGAGTGATTGGAAGTTAAGGAGATAAAGCAAAAAAAATGTGAATTGTCATGTTTGTCAAGTTTTTAAGACTAGTTGTTCTAATTTTTTTTATATATAAATATATACATATATACATATATATACACATATATGTATATATATATATATATATATATATATGTATATATATACATATATACATACACACATATACATATATACATATACACATATACATATATATACATATACACATATATACATATATACATATATACATATATATACACATATACATATATATATATATACATATACATATACATATATATACATATACATATATGTATATATACATATATGTATATATATACACATATACATATATGTATATATACATATACATATATACATACATATATATACGTATATATATACATATACATATATACATATATATATACATATACATACATATACATATATACATATATATACATATACATACATATACATATAAATATACATATATATATACACACATATATATTAAACCTACATGAATCACAAGAATGACATAATTTCAGGAACTCTTAAATATCTCAAGGTGAAATGCGTTGTGCAACAGCTTACTTTAGACTTTTCATAACTTTATTCACATCTTCTCAAACTTTTTCATTTCAAGGACTCTCCAGCAGACCAATTTAATCTGAACTTACCCCCATCTAGTATGATTTTTTTATCAAAAAATTCCGTTGTGTCCCAGTCTACACTTCTACTACCTACTCTATGAATATATAGTCTCAAGCTGATGAAACACAGAGCAACTTTTAGAGCAATCGTGCGGGGCAACGTTGCCATCAATGGTAATGAGTAAAGATTACAACCGTAATCCCCTTCCCCCACCACCACCCCCGGCGCCTGCACCGCCGCTATCCGTTCAAAACATAGTCGGACTTGCCACCAGTAACATTGCCCGGCAACATTGCTCAAAAAGCTGCCCCGTGTATCATCAGCTTCAGTAAAATCTATTTGAGGAATTTGACTGCAGAGGTTCACATTCTAGATGAGAAGTTAAGTGAACCTTATAAAAACCCATATACATTTCAGATTGAATTATTTATTCTAATAATTGTGAAATTACTTAAATGTTTTGTTGTGAACGCACTTTAATCCATTAAAGTGGTCTTGGACCCTTAATGGAAGAACTATTTACAAACAACACCTGTTGAACTTATGACTTTCTGCATTCAAACAATGTCAGAGCTCCCATTAAGTGGATTATTTAAATATTAACTCTAAAGGTGGTAAGTTGATCTTTGTGCCTAGATGTTCAACATAAAGACAGCATTAAAATATATAATGAGGCTTTGGTAGAGAGACACATTAGTTTGTCAAATATACCAAATGCTACTAAAAACTGAAATGCAACAAAAGTTCAGTTATACAACTTAGTACGTGGAGATACAAAATTATGCAAGCATTCTATTAAATGGAATGGCAGTAGGGTGTGAGTCTGCGCCTTCCACTCTGTCTCAAAGACTTTTTCATTTTTATGATGCACTAAGGGAGTTGGCTCTCAAGGTTGAAGTTCCACCACTTTATTGCAGGTGTCAAATATGATATCATTCTCTTTTATCGCCCATCATCAAGGAGGTAGCTACCTCATGGCATTTAAAGCCGCACAGTGGAGAAGGAGGGCCTGGGAAGCCTGGGGGCTGCCGGGCATGAGGAAGTCACTGAGACGGTTATCTTTATTAGCTACCACCGCTCCTCACAACACACACAGACACGTGCACGTTTAGGCACGGTGTACACAAATCCCCTAGTAAGCAAGTGTGTCTGCATGCATGAACATGTGCAGGTATACAGACATACAGTTACTTAGCTGCAATGATGTTAGCTAGTCAGTCAGTGTTGTCCCATGTCAGTATGATCGAAACTCACTACTCATGTTAACGCCTCTAAAACATGAACATTTCAAAGATTTGAAACCTGAAATTAAAAAAACTAATTTTCCTCTTGTCACATATATAGATGGCAGTTTCGTTCCCAGAGTTTTTCTGCTGTATGGGTCGCTCTGTCTTAAAAAGCTGCCAACTCTTAAAAGAATTTTATTAGTCCCCATTTTAATGAAGCGTTTTAGTGCTGCAATATTCTAAATGCTGTTTCCAGTTTTCAGCTGACCAAGGGCAGACTTTGGGAAAAAACACTGAAAACTTTTAAATAGTTTGGCGTAAAAATTGAACAGTTTAGAGACTGAATATGCATTGAAAAAAACAAACAACAAAACATTAACACAGATTTGTGTTAAAACTTTCAAATTCTTGACCTTGAAAACACCTCAAGGTCCATTTAGTAGCTCTTCTGGAGCTTTCAAACTGTATTTCAACAATGCCAACATGGCCAACATTACTGAGAGGTCCTTAAAGTGCTTAAAATGGAAATAATAAATGGAAATTTGAACCTCTTCCATTGTATGATTACTATTGATGAAGGTCATGTGATGTGTTCTGAAGCTTTGGAAAATCTACTAAATGGACCTTGAGGTGAGATTGACTTGTTGAGTTTTTATTTTAATATATTTCACAAAATGTTGCTAGAACTTGCTTCACATTGAAATACAGCCATTGAAGTGTCGTTAGATAACGTATTTTTTGGAACCTAAACATTCATCTTTTCATCAAGATATAGCTCAGGTCAAACTTGACATCTTTTGACCTGCAAATCCCCAAATCAATACTGGATGCCCACTGACTCTTGTTCTTGAAGAATGTTTTCTGAAAATTCTGTGGCGAGCCAGCATGATGCTTCTTTGGTGAGGAAAGAGGATATATGTCCCAACCCGCTGATCACTAACATTTCTGTAACCCTCCATGTCCTTCTGCCCAGCCTCCCATCCAGCCAGCTGCCTGCCTGCTGAGTGCAGCGTTTTGGATGCCCGGTCAGGACGAGGCACGTTGTTATCTCTCTGCCATTAATCAGGGAAAGGGTTTAGGCCCAGCCAGCTGAATTATTGGGAATATTAGAAAAGCAATTAGTAAAGCCCACGGCCGACGCAGATTTAACGAGGTTAGAGTTAGTGTTGGGCAGGCAAGGTGATAGGAGCGGAGGAGAGGCAGGCGGAGATGAGGAGGGAGTGTTTAGATAAAGACACTAAAATGGTTAATGCAGGAGAAGCAGCAGGGAGGGGCTGGGGGGAGGTATCTGTGGAGGGAGAGAGCGGTGCAGCGGTGCATTGAGAGTCCGGGTTCATAGTCTCCCCTCGGGGGTCTCTTTCCTCTTACGCCGGCCCTCCTGATGCCTGCTACTCCATTAATCACACTGATGTATCGCAGTAGTCTGGGAAGCAGAGAAAAACAACACGACTGGATAACCTGTTGGCTCGTGTGTGTGTGTGTTTGTGCGGGGCTGCAAACACCTTACATAAATCCGTCATCACCACAGGACAGACTATTCGAGACAGCAGAAGACAGCAGAACATATATGTTAAAGGGTCAATTCACCAACGTAACAAAAAATATACCGTGTTACTTTCCTCTAGTTGTATCTAGTCATGCAGATAATTTTGGTTTTATGTGCCCAGGCTTATCTGATGTTTCTGCTGCCACCCATTGTTTGAGACCTTTGCTTCATCCTCAATTTCGCCCCTTGTGAAATGACAGCACAAGAGGTGCAAATAAACTTGGACAACATGTGATAAGCTGCTGAGAATAAACAGGTTACTAATTTAAAGGCCTACTTGTCAGTATAAGATCAGATTACTTGAAATATGAAATATTTATATTTGAAAAGATATTGTTTCTGTAGTCTTTTTTTCTTTTTCTTTTGAGCAGCACCTTGATATTTCATACACTATTTTTACTATTTGTGCGTCAGCAGAAGTCCAAACTTAAAATTATCCGCACAGTTAGACAAAGGGTAATTGAGAAAATATGTTTATTCTGATTTGTGTAAAGCAAGCTTTTACTAAAAGTCTGACAATGTTTAGAAGCGGCTTATTAACTCTTGTAGTTTGGCTCATTTATGCAGGTGAAAACCAATTTTGTTCTCTTCAACAAAGTTGGCCTTTCTTCTGAGGGCAAACGGCTGCCTGGATTGATACTAAAATTCATCTTTTTCTTAATGTCTTCTCTTGTGGTATGAATAGCAAAGAAAGGAAATAATGGCAGAGTGCAGACAAGTCCGTCATGCTTAGTCAGACTTGTTTTGACTACCTCCTGAAGCTGAAACCCTTCTAACCACACAGAATGTCAATTTAACCGAGACTCAACAGTAAATGCAACCATTTTCGCTCTGGTTCATACCGGAGAGACTCTGTAAATGGGACTGTCCCCTGTGTCCCTCGCCCATGGAACACAACACACAAAACCTGAGCGCACAAGTTTATAAACCCGTCCCCGTGTGTGTGTTTTGTGCAGGTACACTATTGATCGGCGCACAGACATGGACAGAGTGTTCGACATCCATACGGGCAACGGGTCAGTGTTCATCCTCAGGGAGTTGGACAGAGAGGAGAACGCCTGGCACAACATCTCCGTCATCGCCGTGGAGTTCAGTAAGTGCAGCAAGACTGGAAGCAGATATTTCTTCCTCTTATTCTTTCAGCCAAATTGGATTTTTGGAGTTGCTGCCAACCCCTGAATGTTGTGTGTTGTTGTAGAAAGGGGGTGTTTTGAGTACTAGAACAGTCACTGCCAGTTCACCCAGTATTAGCTGGTAGGTGTTTGTTTGTTTTCACACCTTGAGTAGCACTCGAATGGCCTTTATTTAACTCACCTGCAGAGAAGCCCCGGCCTTTATTTGAAACCAGCCGACGTTATCAATACCTAACCTGACCTTCCTTCATGTGTAGGCCTGCCTGGTGTCTTAAAAAAAAAAAGAAAGTCAATTTCCATTAATACAACACCAAAACCAGTGTACTCAGCAATCGGCTGATCTGAGTTTTTCTTTTATTATTTCTTTTTCTTTATTAATTTCACTCGACGTACTTTTTAAAAACTTTTTTTGAAAAATTCAGTTTTTAAGTTATTGTCAATTAAACAACACTTCCTGCAGATTCAAGTGAAAAGCTTTTCAGCCCTTTGAGTGACTGGAAAACTTTTAATGTAAAATGTGTGCAGGATGCTCCGAGTTTCATTGACAGTAACTTTTTTCTTTTGTCAGTATACTTTTTGATGTTAAATTAAAGGAATTTCCTGCACAGATGCTTAATTCCATTTACAACAGCTCAAACCCCAGAATCCCTCACATCTCTATGTTGTAGGATTTTAATGTACAAATTTCAGAAGCAACAAGTTTCAACAAGAGTAACTTAACGCAGATCGATGGAACAATAGAAGTAACTGCAAATAAAGAGACAATTAGAGCAGAATGTTTGTTAAAATACATGTCAAAGATTGAAAGGTTTTGAAAGCAGGGTGGTAGTAAGAATTAGAAAAATAAATTTGAAGGATTAGAAAAAGATAAAATAATGTAAACATATGGAATATAAGTATTAAAAGCTACATGTCACAGTTTCAAGGGAATCTAAAATAGCATTTTGTACAAGTTCGATTGCAAATCTAAAAAGGAAATATGAAAAAGAGCTCAGAGCAGAAAATTGGTGAGTATGAGATGTCTGTTATAATGATGGCATTACTGTCATGTATTATACTGAGTGTTTCATGTAAGCTCTTATAGTAAAGGTTATACAACCCACCTTACTGTTTTTTACTCACTCACTTGTTTTGAACTTTATCTGTTCATTATTTGAAAACCAGCGTTTGTTTGAGAATTTACAGTAATTCTGATTGGCTTTAATGAATCCCCCAATCCAATTTGAGTATTCATACATGCAAGAAAAGACTTGGAGTGGAGTAGAAGTAGAGACTGTTGAAGAAATGTATATATATGTTAGTACTTTTGCAAGTTATTTACATATAGTAATTTATTTTACATGTCACATATAATTTCTATCACTGTAAAGAATAATGTAAATATGTTAATGATTCTGTTGTGTACTGACAATGCTTCCATTAATGTTTGCATGGAAACATGGACAAAAGCTACACACACACACACACACACTATGATACAGTTGTGTTCAATTAAGAAATAATCATTAATGTAAATTCACTGTGTTCCCCTTTGTGCTTCCCAGACAACCCGCGACAGATCAGCCGCGTGCCTGTTTACGTCCGAGTGCTGGACGTCAACGACAACGCTCCGACATTTGCCACCAATTATGAGACATTTGTATGTGAGAACGCTAAGGCTAATCAGGTTGGTATGACCGATCACAAACCAGTAGCCAAGGCTTTGTTCTTCTGTAATGAGCAGACTCAGTGAAAATTCCTAAATCTGTTTGAAGAGACCTTTTTTTTGATTGTTTTTTTTGCATGAAGCTTGTCACCTGCAGTTGTTTAAGAGGTTTAAAAAGAAACTGCATTATTGACAATGTGTTATAATGTATGTAATACTCAAACACAACATCACAGTTTTACAATTGGCCCAGTCTTTTTCGTTGTACTTCTGCCATTTCGTCAAAATGCTGAGACACAATTCCACCACATATTTAGTGTTGACATTTGGATCTGAACCAAATGTTGCTGTCTCGAGTTTATCTGGGCTCATAGGAAGTGTGGTGCCCCAAGCCCTGACTTGTTACTTTTGTACTTTGTAATAGTCAAACAAAGGAAAAAAAACTCTCTATACAGAATATTATCTTTTACATACTGGACCTCGGCAGCAGTGGTGGAAAATCATACTAATATAGTATTAATTAAAATAATACTTTTAAAAGTAGTAATACAACAACAAAAAGACAATACAATGAAAGGTACTTAATATGCAGAATGACTCAATTCAAAATATTAAATATTGTCAGATCATCAGAATTTTGCATTAATCAGAGTCTGCAAAATAACTAGTAACTAAAGCTGCTAAATAAATATATTGAAGTAAAAAGTGTAAAGTTGCATAAAATGGAAATACTCACATCAAAAACAAGAACTTAAGTGCAGTTCTTGAATAAATGTACTTTCCATCACTGCTGCACTGACATCGTGCTCACCTATAATAGGTGCACATGTGATTAGTGCTGGGTGGCTTTTTTGTGTCTTTCCATTTTGACTGTTTGCAGTCAGGGAAACTCTGACGTTTGTTACTTGTTAGCTTGCCATTAACTATTGCCATTTTGAAGTCCCCTAAAGACCAATCCACTCATTTAACCTGAATCAACAGCTGTTGTTCACATTCAAACACCAACCATGCACTAACAAGCTTGCACCGGTGGCGTTTTACAGCTGGTGTCGGCCATCATGACAAAAGATGTGCGATACTGAAGATAATATAGAACCATTCAATAGAAAATTAAATATACTGTAATAGAATATTTTATCAATATTGCCTCCTATTTATAGCTCAGCCAAACTGGAATGTTTAGCTAATCAGATACTAGCACACTCAACACATGAACTTCAGTTGGGTTCGTCAGTGGTGAAATGATAAATTCCTAGTTAAACACAGCTTAAAAGTGTCTATTGAAAACATCTGAGATGGTTCTAGCATGTGGTTGAATTCAATAGCTAATATTGTCGTGTTCCATCTATATGGCTGCTAGAAGATTATGAGTTACTCACCTATTTCTGTTTCTTATTTCAGAGGATACAAACCGTGAGCGCCACAGATCCCGACGAGCCACTCGGAGGACACAGATTCTTCTTCAGTCTTGCACAGGAGACTGCTGGGAAGGCTAACTTCTCTGTCCGTGATAACAAAGGTAATACACTCTCAGCTGATGCTTGCGGTCATCAGATTAACATCAATCTTCTGTATAATATTCCTCTAACGCACTTATACCTGTTGTTAAACTTAACCACATTTAATGTTGTACCGTATGATGTATGATATGACTGAAGTGATTTATGGTTTTACATACAGCACTAAAAGCACATTGACAGAGCAAATGAAATTTCTAGGAGTTCATTGAACGATTCAGTCAGGTTATTGACTGCTGCACGGTAACCGTATATCCTGTTGTTTTCAGACAACACGGCCTGGATCCTGACCCGGAGGAACAGCTACAACAGTCTACAGAAGAGCATCTACCACGTGCCTGTGGTCATTTCTGATGGCGAGTTCCCCATGCAAAGCAGCACCAACACCTTGACAATCAGAGTGTGCACCTGCGACCGCGAGGGCAACATGAAGCTGTGCAACGCTGAGGCACTCACAGCGCGGGCGGGACTCAGCACGGGAGCTCTGGTGGCCATTTTGCTTTGTGTCATCATTCTGCTCAGTGAGTACAGACCGATGGAGAAGCGCTCAAGACGCACCTGCAGCTCACTCATGCAAAAACTTGTTTTTCAATCTGATCTTTATTTAACCAGTGTGGCTTCAGCGATATTTTTTTTGGAGTGTTTCGTGAAGTATGCTCGAGAGGTTCCTGCTACAGCAAACCTCTCAGTTTTGTGTTTCACTCCTTAATTTGATTCATCGCTTCCTGTGGGCGGAAAATTCTACCAGTGACTAAAAGTGACATGTTAATTTGATTTAAACAGCAAAGCAGCAAAGATCTATGGCATCACAGCTGTGCTTTAGGATAAACAAGACAGGTGCTTATTTTTATTCCGGAAAACTTATGCCTGGTGCAGCTGCATTATCTCAGGGAACACCATTACTAGCTGTCCTTTAAGTCGGGACACAGTACAGATGTTTCAGTGGAGGTAGTATTCTTGCATCACACATGGTTTATTTCCTGCAAATACAAACCAACGTTTCAACCTCAATCACATCAGAATATTCTCCAGGATAAAACAGCAATGGCAATCCAGGGGAATTTGTGTGCAATTGCTGAAGAGATTTTTTTTGCCCCAGCGCCCAGGTTATACAACTAGCTTTAGGGCCATGGAATTTCCAAGGCACATTTCAATTTGCTCCAGTAACTGTATTTTCAATGACCTGCCTATGTAGCATGCAAGAAAGCTTTTGAACTGGATAAACAGAGAAATACTGATTGACTTCACCTTTGGCTTAATCCAAAGGGGCTAGGTCAGCTTCACATGCATCACTCAAATGTCATAATGCTGTAGAAGATACATAAATTGTGTTTCTAGCACACAATGTACTTAAACTGCATTCCTTTGTAATCTTAAGCAGCAGGGGCCCCGAGGATGGAAAAATACATAATGCATCCTTGTGGTAGCTGAGCCTGTTCTACAAAGTCAGACAAAGTCCCTGAACATCAGTGAACACTCATACAACATCAACTATTCCCCCTGGACAGTCACTGGCCTTCAGAACAAGGAGAAGGAGCATAGAAACAACAGCAAAAGTCACCTAACTCTGTTACTTGTTCCCTTTGTTTTTGTTCTCCATGTAGTGATTGTGGTGCTGTTTGCTGCCCTGAGGAGACAGAGGAAGAAGGAGCCTCTGATCATCTCCAAAGAGGATGTCAGAGACAACGTTGTCAGCTACAATGACGAAGGGGGCGGAGAGGAGGACACTCAGGCCTTTGATATTGGCACGCTGCGCAACCCAGAGGCCATTGAGGAGAGCAAGCAGCGGAGGGACATTGTCCCCGAGACCTTCTACCCTCCAGTTCGACGGGCTGTGCTGCCCCCAACCCGGGACAATAACGGGGATGTGAGAGACTTCATCAGCCAGAGGCTCCAGGACAACGACAGCGACCCAACGGCGCCGCCTTACGACTCCCTGGCCACCTACGCCTATGAGGGAAACGGCTCTGTAGCGGAGTCCCTAGCTCACTCGAGTCGGTGACCACCGAAGGCGACCAGGACTACAACTACCTGAGCGAGTGGGGACCCCGCTTTAAGAAACTGGCAGACATGTATGGGGGCGACGACAGTGACAGGGATTCCTAACGAGAGCCTGGCACACAGACAGGGAGAGAAATGTGAAACAAAACACGTTTAAAACATTTGGGCAATTCTGGTGCATGTGTGGCGAGAAAAATGGCGAAAGGACGAGAAAAGAGCACCATTTGTCCGAGTGCTCTTTCACCGCCATCGATCACCATTCAGTTGTACCTCCGGTGACCAGACGTAGGCTTTGTGTGTCCAGTCAGTGTTAGTTGCATTTTTTGCGAGGGTGCTGTTAAAAGAGACTGTTTGTGTGTATATGGGGTGTACATGATGCCCAAATATATCTATACCGATATTTTCTTTTTTTTGTTTGTTTTTCCAAAGCTGCGTGTGATGGACACGTTCAACAAGCAGTTTTGTAAACCAACAGATATGCCTATGTATTTTTCAGTGTTTCTGGGACAAAAAAACATGCTGCATATTGTGAGTTCTATCTTAGCTTGTGTACGTACGGTAATATGATACAATACGCTGTACAGTTGTTTTGTTTTTTGGGGGATTTTGATTGTCCAAATGATCCCCTCTTTCAGCGATGGCTGCCTCACATTAGCCACTTATCCACAGTTGTGCTTGAGTTAATTGAGACAATTTTGGCACTGCCATCTCTGATGAAAATGAGGAATCTCAATACAAATTAGATGGCAAAGATGTACATCATCAAAACATGTGTTAGTTGTGGCACGTGGCTACTGTTCTTTAAAGCTTACATGAAGCTGTGGTAAAGGAATGTGGATTTTACAGCCAAAACAAACACACAAGTTTGTCATTTTTGTAGTATGTGATATTCATCGTCACACAGCTTTGAGCATTCGCTGCGCGGTTGGCCCAAACACCAAATCTTTCTTTATTGAGGTGAATGTCTTCAAAACCATTTTATTCTGTGCAGCCAACTCTTTAAGTACATATATTATTTTCTACGCTACGACTGGTATAAATTCACCAATCTAATCTGCACCAGGCTCAGTTAGAGGAAAATACTGGTCTTTTTGGACTTTTCCGCTCATCTCGACCGCAAAAATATGTAAATGTTTCACTCTGTTCAACACCATGTAAGTCACAATAACCCCCATTGCTGAAAAGATGCCACTGAGCTTCAAACTACGGTATCACAGTTAGATTAAATGAAATATCATGCAATTTTATTTTCTTATAAACATTATCCTGCAGCAGGAACAGATTACGTTTGGTTTTAAAGTGATTTAGATAAAAAAAAGGAAAACAAAGAAAAGAAGCAACATTGTCAAATTTCCTTGAGACATCACAACTATGAATAAACACTTTTAAAATAAAGAGGTCTGGTGGAACTGGGAGGGCAGAATGATATCAAGATATATCAAGTAAATGTTTCACTCTGTACAACATGGCAACTCCCAGTGCTGAAAAGATGCCACTGAACTTGAAAGTACGGTATCAAAATGAGATTAAATGAAATATCTCGAGGACGATTAAAATTCATCATGCAATTTCATTTTAAATGGTTCATTTTATCTGTTCAGGTGATGATAAAAACAGGAAAAGTAGCATTCAAATCAATGTATCAAGCAAGAAAAGTATACACGTTTTTACTTGGACTGTGTCACAGTAAGTATAAAAGCTTTACAGAGAAAGCATCAAAGTCTATAATAGGAATCAAAAGAGTTGCCTTAAATTAGAAAAACAAATCTACCCAATAAGAAATGGCCTGAAAACAAGGTTGTCTTTATTTTGGTGTCAGATTCTTCTCCAAAAGAAAGTTCAAATGACCTTCTAAAATGCACAATATGACATACAGCAATTAAACATTCATAAAGTTAGTTTTTCTTTTAAGGTAAAATCTACACTTCTTTCATGAAGACTGTGTCCTAAGAGGGGCCCTGCAGTCGAATGTATAATAATGTAAAATAGCAGTTCAGTAATGGAAATGTGCCAAAAAGCAAAGGCCACCAGTATTTTCCTTTAAAAATCCTCCTATTTCTGTACTCTGTTCCCTGCCCTTCATTACATGTCCCGTATGTAGTGTTGAACATGAAGCCAGTCCAAGTGTTTAGGCTTTACCCAACTGATTTCCTGAGGGATGAACAGCCTTTTCCATAACTGCGCTCATCAAGGGCCACCTGACCTTTTGAGTGTTGTGGAATAAGGTTCTTAGGTGAGGTGTGTCCTCAGCTGAGGGAGAAGGTCAAAACTTTATCCTGCAGCAGGAACAACAGATGACCGGTTTTACAGCAATTTAGAAAACATAAAAAGGAAAAAAAAAAAAAAAAAAAGTTGCAACATTGTCAAATTTCCTTGAGACCTCACAACTATGAATAAACACTTTTGAAATAAATAAGTCTGGTGGAACTGGGAGGGCAGAATGATATCAAGGAAAAAAAACCAGAGCAGCTAAAACAAGATCTGCCCTCACTTTAGCAAAAGGCCAACCTGTGAAGAGGCTGACATTTATCAGACATTTGAAACAGTAATAACAAAACACAATGGCATAATTGCCACAATGGTACACTTTTTCTCCCTGTACTCTGAAGCGGGCTTGACATCAACAATGGTGCAGCACATTAAACAATACAACTGATAACACAGTGGTTGGAAAATTCTTTATGCTCGGCTGTTGTATACATGTGCTCTCTTTTTTGCCCCCGTGTTTTGTTTATTAGCTTGTTGCTGGAGCTCCCATTGTGTAAGTGGCCATTTCAGACTGCGCCAATGTTGCTATGATAAGCATTTAATGGGTTTAGAAACCCTTCACTCTAAGAAAACTGCTTTTCTGCCTCAAGGTACAATGTGAGGTCTCAAATGGAAATCACCATGACAGCAGCACTCACCAAAAGCATTTTTTCCTTAAGTCTTCACTATTTTCTGTCTTCATACAGAGTGTCAGCGTGTCGCCATTACGAAGACGTGCTTATGTTTTCCTATGGAGAGTATAATTGCCTCCAAGCATTGGCGCCATGCTCAGCTAAGATAACAGAACATGTCGCACATCGTAACGTGCCGCACCGCCTCAGCGTATTTTTTTTTTATTAAGTTGAGGCAACTACATGGTGACGCTGATGTCTTCTTTCTCCAGATACAATAGATCTGTGATTGTTGATGTGTAGACATGGTCGGCCTCGGGGCTCACCTCTACTACGGTATATTATGTTGGTGACAATGTGATTGAGCAGTCGAGTTTTGTTGATGTAGAAACTATTTGAGAGGTTGTGGTAGTGTAAGGGACCCTACATCATTGGCCATTCATCAATCTGCTTTGTAAAATGTGATATTTTGTACTGAATATTTATATGACACGATTAAACATCTTTAAAATCAGACACTCTATTTCCTTTGTGAGGTACTCTTCCAAAAAAATACAAAATAATAATAATAATCAAATGGAAGGTTAATAATTTGACAGGTTTATTTACATAGCAGCTCTAGTGGAAAACTCTCCCTTTTTTCCTCTGGTCGTGGAGGATAATTGAACTTTTATCTGAAATGTGATGGTAGCCACGGGCTAGCATGCATGACATTTACCATCCTCACAGGTATGTATATATCATCAACAATAAATCTCAGCATAAAAGACCCAACTCTACATGTTAGATAGTAATTCATATGACGGCCGTTGCTAAATAGCTGGATCCAGAGGCTACTGAGCTGAGGAAATTGTTAAGTTAAGACAATCTATAATTAAAATCTGCCAATCGGATTTGGAGAGAGGTTGAAAAAAGAGAGACGGGGAGAAAAAAAAAAAAATAATCACATTTTGATTATTCGAGGATGAGTGGCAGATGTGAGACAGATGGTGACATTGTAGTGATTGAATATAATTGACTCAACCCCTTTTCTGGCTTAGGCCTCTTAGCAAAGCAGGTGAGGATTACAGTAAATGCCAAATAATCTGATTTATGACAGAATCTGAAACTTTATTTACAATACTAGCTTTGATGGTTTATTTAGCATGACATACACCATTGCTCCTGGTTGAAAAGTTAGGCAACTCAATATTTAATGATTCAACAACAAAAGGCCACGTTGACAGTGCTACAATACTAAACAGCATAAAACATGATTTCTAATTCTGTTTGCCTTCTGTCCAACTTCAACTTTGAAAATCGTGGACAAAATCTAAAAGACACATTAAAGCGTTATGGCAACCCAGCTAATCCCCACTTGTGTCCCATCGATGTTCATGTAGAATGTAGAACAACAGTCACTCGTCGCTGCTAAACTATCGCAGCCTCGCAATCAACTAGTGGCATCTCTATCTTGTCAACGCTTGCCTGGACAGCTGCCACATTTGCAGAGAGAGCTCCTTAATGTGGATGCGGGTCTTGATTGGTGCCGTCACTTCCTGCATTCCTCCACCTCGTCGGTCTCCTTCTCCTGCCGCTCCCGCTCTCGTCTCATCTCCTTCAGCTCCTGTCTGTATTTCCGCTCGATGAAGCGCTTCTGATGAGCCATCTGTGGGAAGTTATCTGGTACAGGGAGAGGCAGAGCAGGAAACAGAGAGAAGTTGACCAAGGAGAACAGATAGAGAGAGAGAGAGACACAGGCAGGGGTGTGAACAGACAAGGTCACTTTACAACTGGCGAAGACAGCAATTTAGGGCTCAAATTGCACCGACTATAGATTTCATAGCAACTGTCATGTTGTCACTTTGGTCAAATGAGTGAAAATGCTGCAGGCAGTATTGCGATTAAATTGCCCCCATCTTGTTATTTCATTAATAATGATGAAGCAACAAGAAATTAGACAGGCCTTGTTTGGTTTCAGCACAATGACTATGAGATCTGATAGCATAATTACAAGTGAACATTTCTAAATGAGATCTGTAATAAGATGGCAAAGTTGTGTGACAGCAGGGAAAATAAAACAAAAACAGATACATGCTGATAGGATGTTAACATATAGACCAAAATAACAAAAGAACTTGCTCCTCCTGCAGTTGGAGCACAGATGATCTTTTTTTATTCGTCTCATTGCGATTTAAAAACTCACTTTAAAAAACTGCTGTTGACAGACTGCACTGCCGGACTTCTTTTTATAGCCGACAAATGCTACTACCTGTTGTCAACCAGTTTGTGGCACTGGCTACATCAGCCATTAGCTTCCAAAGCCTTCTGGGTTTTCTGCACACCGCCAACTTGGCTGGAACCACATAACCAAAATTTGGGCAGATACAGAGTGAGCCTGGGTGGATTCAAGGGCTGAGGAAGTGGAAGGTGGAATGAAAACACAGAAATGCACCTAAACTTGTTTTGAAATCTCAATCAAGAGACAACTTAGTTATTGAGGCCTTAATGTGGCAGAAAATTACTTAAAATATTTTTGACTGAATCCCTTAAACAATTTCTGTTAAGCCAGGTCCTGGTGGTCATTGGTGGTACTGCATGTCAAGCCACTTCCAAACTGTGTCACAGTCCTGTGAAAACCTCAAATTTCTCCAAAATGTCAAAAAAAAAAAAAAATATTTCGGACAATTTAATAGCTCTCTAGAGCTGTTATTAAGGTTATACCTGGGGCTGCAACTAACAATTATCAATAGGTCTGCTGATTATTGTCTACATTAATCTTCAACGTAGAAGATAGTGAAAAATGCCCATTAAAATTCCCCAAAGCCCAAGCTGACATATTCAAACATCTTGTTTTGTCCGACCAAGTGTCCCAAAACCAGAGATAGTCAACTTACAATCACAGACTAACAACAAAAATGGCAAATCTGATAAACCAGAGATTTTTTGTTGTTTTGCCGGAAAAAAAATACTAGAATTCTGTAAATCTACTAACAATTATTTTTGCTGTTTTGATAATGTTTTCAGCTGATCCATTCTGATCGTTTATTCTGTTTAATATTTAAGAAAATTGTGTAGATTGCCCATCACAAGTTCTGAGAGTTCAAGGTGACATCTGCAAATGTCTTCGTTTGTTCAACCAACTGTCCAAAACCCAAAGATAATCAATTTAAAGTGATAATTAACAGAGATATTTAACATCCTCTCCTTTGAAAAGCTGGATGTAGAGAATGTTTGGCACCATCTTTTCACTATTTTTGCTTCAAAAATGACTGGAATGATTAATCAACAACCAACAAATTACTTATTTCTCTTTCAATCAACTAATCATTTCAGCTCTAGTTAAAATGTAGGAGAATCACCCAACCCACAAAGAACATTTAATCCTTTGTCTTAAGTGAGAAATTCAAAATACCTGGATTTCACTGGAAAGCGACGACCGGCTGTAGTTTTTAGCCATGACAGCTGGTACTCAGTTCAGCCCGATGACCCACCAGGTAGTTAACAATTTTAATATTCACAGCTTAGGTAATTTTCTATTAAGTGTTTATATTACTGGGTCTACCCACTGCACACTTCAATTTAAAACAGCACGCATGACAGATGCCAGGTGGATTGTGTCAACTCGCCGAGGCACAAATTTGACTGTGCAGTTTTTCCGGTCGCTGACCATGACCATGCAAAGCTGAACAAATTAAAAATCAGTCTTTCAATAACTTTTCCCATTGAATTTTTAAAGTCAGTCTGTGATGGACTCGCAATGTTCTGTACCTCAATAGATCTTTTTTGCGTGGCCTTTCTGTTCTGTGATTTATTATACTTACTGTACCTTAATGTGTGTTTGAACAGTTATTCATCATTATTTTGCCTCTGCACTTCAGAGTTTGAAATAAGCGGTAAGGTAAGACCACAGACATTCTGGTTTAATTTGACAATGGAAGAATTGTAGCTCTTCAATACATTAGTTTTAAAACAATATTTTGGACTAATAATTCATCAAATTTGATTGTTAATGTCTGCTGATGTCTATGACCCACAGACACTTTACTCTTTCCTGATAAAGCTCTGTTATTGCTGTTTGGGTTTAGTTGCCCTTAAAGCTGAGAGTCGGCACTTTACCTCACACATTGTTTCCTTTTTAAATCCAATGTGCTGCAGTATGGAGCCAAAACAACAGGAAATGTGTCACTGTCTAAATACTTAGGGCCTGCGCTGTATCATGGGCAGATAGTGTATATTATCCTCTGATAAATGTGAAAATTTAATTATTACTATTGTCCAGACAGCGGACTTACAGCTGATAATATAGCACCTTAGGGTTTGAGCCAACTATTCAACTATCTGGTGTGGATTTTGTGTTTTCTGGAAACGGCTGCTGTCCCACTGCTGTAGACCCATATCCACAGCTGGAGAAACACACCACAGGAGCAGAAGTAAAAATGGTTCTCACATGTTGGAGCGACACATTATGCATCTGGATTGTGCTTAACCTTCTCTCTAAGCTCTTAGCAAATCAGTTGTTT